CTGGGGACCTCGGGATGATCGTAACCGATGGTTAGAGACACTGAGTGATATGGCTGGGTGTCGTAAACAGTGGCGTTCATGCTTCTCCTCAATTTCTTTCCAACCTTAGACCACTGAACTCCACTTTCTGTTCTACTCCACTTTCAACTTTCCTTTCTTCTCCTATTCTTCATCCAAATGAGCAGCCAAAAGACAGCAACCAAAACCGGCGCAAGAATATGCGTTGTTAATGATTTTAAAAACTGAAACTGAAACTTTGATTCATTCAGAGTGATGCCATATTTGGCAACGGCTTTCAAGAATCGTTCGAGATTTCGATCGTGGTCATCCAGAGTTGAGCTACATACGGTAACGTCTGTGTATGCGAACGTATTTATTTGACCTTTTGCTTTTAAAATTTTGTCAATGGTGCGTTGAAAACAAGCGACACCGGTATTCAGCAGAATTGAAAGAGATTGTCACATGCTTCAAATGCGGTGTAAAGCTTCTCGTAGTCTTTTCAATGGGAATCTGATAATAGACACTTTTCAAATCAAGGGTGTTGTATACGGCATAGCGTGAGTTGTTTTCCACCATTGTATCGATGCGGGGTAGTGGGTACGCATCTAGTTGAGTGAAGCGATTGTTCGTATGGTTATAATCAACAACCATTCGTTTCTTGTGGTTGGCGTTTTTATTAAGAAGGACTTGAGCTCTTCAATGGAGTTTGAAGGTTTAATGGTGCCATCACTTAGAAGATGTTGCACTTCGGACTTAATGAACTGTACATCTTCAGCTGAATGTCTTCTGGATTTGGTAGCGATTGGTTTACAGTCAGCAAAATGGTGGGCTAACAAGGGAGGTGATTCAGTTTTGGCGGCGGAAAGGTTGCAGTGATAAAGGACCATGTTTGTCACCGAACGGTATTTCTACTCTATCATGCAAACCAAGAAAGTACATCAACGCACAGATTGCGCATTACGGCAAGTCGTATTTTTTCGTCGGAATCGTCATGGTATCGGATAATCACGCTACAATAACAAATGATAGCACAAGAGAGGGAGGTGGAAGCCATGGTAATTTTTGAGTCACAAGGATAGACTTTCCAATCATAGGTATTTACAATGGAATGGGATACATAACTGTCAGAGCTACCAGTGTCTATTAGTGCCTGAAGTTTAGCACTATTAAAAAAACGGTGGTAGTGGCACGGGACAAATACGTGGGAGTGGCGGCAGTGATGGTAGAGAACGNNAAGTGTTCTGTTTTCCCACAGGCTTTACCAGCGCCCTCCCTAGTAGGGCACTTGGTACGAGGGTGCTTTGAATAGCCGCAAAAATAGCATGCCTCTTTAGAAGCCACTGAGAGAACGGGTTCAGGGTCGGCGACGGAAGTGGTCGGAGGAAGCTGATTAGTCGACGCATATGGAACGCTCTCTGATTCGTATGACCTCGACTGCCTCTGGGCAATTTCAAAGGACCGTGCCATATCGCAAACCGACTGGAAGGTTAGAGTTGGTTGTTCCAGCAGTCCCGTATGAATGACATGAGACTGGAGTCCCGTTTTGAATGCGTCGCAGTGTTCTTCGGCTGAGACGGACCGAAAATTACAGTCTTTAGCGAGCGCTTTGATCTTTTGAACAAACTGGTCTTTGTTCGATCGAGCGTCTTGTTTACAAGTAGAAAGTAGGTATCGCGCAAGCACAACGCTTTTGGGGCGAATGTACAGCGATTCCAGCAGGGAGATGGCGTTTTCAAATGTCTTACATTCAGAGGTGTGTTCATAGGCAGATGGTGCCAGAGATTTGATGACTACGTCTAGATTGTCTGCGTCATCGGATTGAATTTGTTTTAGAACGACGTTGAAAGTGCCTATCCAGTAGGTCCATTGTTTGGAGGCATCTGGGGCGTTCACATCTACATCGAATTTCTCGGGTCGAAGGTAACGGTCCGTTATTAGTTGAGCAAGCTGTAACGTTTTACGAATCAAGCAAACGAGAGCAGAATGGAGAAGACTCGGAGTCGGAATTGTACGCTCTACTCAACTATTAAATCCGGTATATGAGCTGTAATAGAAAAAAGAGGTTTATGTAATATGCAATAGAAAAGGGTGTGTAAACAAGAGAACCACAATATGACAAGTAGAGTAGGTGTCTCCTGCCTTCCAGACTGGAGTCCAGAATACTGCCACACACGACTGTGGCAAAGAACCGAAAGTAGTGGTGTTTTTGTTGTCATTTTCTTGTCTGTCCAGAATGCTTGAAAAAGTATGTCTGTACAGTGAGACTCTGAATTCCGTGTTGACCAAATAGGTTCACTTTCTTTCTCCCTGGAAATACGTCCAATCCTTGTTTATCTTACATATTCTCACTAAACTTGTGTTCATTGCGAGTTTGGCATTGATCAATGAAGTTCGCTTCACTTCATTCCGCTATACGAGGATGACAGTGTACCCGTTTTTAGGGTTATTGATCATATATCTGATGAAGGCTAACCCAAGAGATGATTCACATTGCTGTTTCACTTCGTTCAACAATATAAATAATGATTCAGGCGATTCGTTTCTACTCCAGTTCAACAGTCCATTTACGTGATCTCTC